TTTTTTCTCCTTACCTCCTATACTTTCCACCACTAATTTTTCGCTGTTTCTCTTCCTGCCTCGTTCTGCTTACCTTTCCCGCTCTTTCCGAGCCACCGGTATCCCTGCCCGCCATAACCTCACTTCCCTTGTCCTCTTAATCTTCCTCTATCTCACGTTTTTCCTTCTCCCTACCTTTGCCTTTATCTCCTCCGCTTCTCCGCCTTTTCTCCTCTCCGAATCCTACCCACACTTACTTTCTTTTCTTCTTAATCTCTAAATATCTTATTCTACACTACGCACTCGCTCACGCTGCACACGCTCTCATCCACGCCACCTAACCAAGTCCCAGAAGCTAGTAAAAATGGGTGTTCCACACAAAACTTGCAGTTTTGTGTATAATCTGGTTTCCGCTCGTCAGGTGTTCTGTCGATATGGTGAGATAGAGAAGATTTTCTGGCTTTACAAGGGCCTTTCTCAGGGCAGTGTCCTGAGTCCTCTACTCTACTCTGTTTACGTTGCGGAGCTGGACTCTGTCAACTCACGGGAATGCAAGTTAGTGCAATATGCGGATGATGTTTGTATCTTCTCGTCGATTACTCCCCTCGAGGAAGGATTAAATGCGATTGAAAGGGCTATAGTGAAATCAATAACAATATTTGACGGTCTCGGTCTGGATTTATCAGTTGAGAAAACTAAGCTATGTGTCTTTAGCCGCAATGATAGCAGTTTAAAAATTCCCGTTAGACAGGGGAACAGAATTACTTATCAGAGGCGAGCATGTTCTATTAGAATTCAAGATACTGAGATAGTTAATTCGTCTCGAGTTAAGTTTCTGGGCATTAACTTCCAATCTAATTTGGGTTGGACGGCGCATATAGACTACACGAGGCTTCGCTGTATATGTCCTCTCCGAATAATCAAATGCGTGGGCCACACATGATGGGCATCCGACCCGCGGATCCTCATGATGGTATATCGAGCCCTGGTTAGATCTAGACTGGAGTACGGAGGGTTTCTGTTTCAAAACCTTTCGGAGAAGATGTCTACGCAACTTGATAAGATTCAGTTTCGCTCGCTACGTGCGGTAATGGGTTACAGGCGGTCCACCCCCTTAAACGTGGTCCTATACGAGTCAAGAGAACCTCCACTGTTTATTAGATATAAGTACCTTTGTAAGAATTTTTTGACTCGAATGGCAACAAGTGATAGACATCAACTCATGCAAACTCTGGAGGAGCTTGGCGAATCCACCGATGCTCCTACTGTAGTAGACCGAATTAATCATTTCCCTATTATGTACTCTTTTGCAGACGTAGTGAGGAGGAGACATCTCTTTCCATCCAGTGGATCACCGTTATGCTTCTCGGTTATTTACGGGACCCTGTTCTATTGCCCAGATGTAAATTTAGATGATGGCTGTAAGATTGGGAAACGCAGCAAGGATGCCGATTCCAAGTTTCAGAGGATTTTTTGGGACAAACTTAAGTCGGCCATGTGTGTGTATACTGATGGCTCTCGCACGGACGGCTGTCCATTTGCAGGTTTTGCGATTACCGCGCATGACAAATCCATATTGTGTAAGTTTAGGATCGTTAGGTTTGTGTCGTCCTTCTGCGTCGAAGCGATGGCTGTTCACGCCTTGGAATTGGCAGAGTCTCAGGAATGGCCCAGACTCGTGATTTTTTCGGACTCTAAATCTGTATTGAGCGCGGTTGGAGCCCCATACGTGCATAGTCATAGCTCATATCTCGTTCTAAAAATTAAAGCATCTATCTATCGGCTTGTAAATGAGAGAGGAACCGAGGTAAAACTTGTTTGGATTCCTAGCCACACCAGTATAAGGGGTAATGAGCGAGCGGATGTTCTGGCAAGTGAAGCAGTGCGCGACGGCAGGGACACTCAGTTTGGTATTCCAACGTCGGAATTTACCAATCTGTGGAGTGCGAGTATGTATGATGACCTGTGGAATTGGTCCAAAAAAGAAGCTGCCATGCGAGGAGCTCTCTATTGTAATAATTATTTAGTTAAGTCTAAACAGGTCTGGTTCAAAAAGTTTGACATTAAAAGGAGGTAACTACGATAAACAGAATCCGATTGGGACATACGTCCCTGAGGGCGAGCCTCTTTCGGCACCGCATTGTCGACTCTCCGTTGTACTTGAGTTGTGGTCTGGAGGAATCTCCTAACCATGTCTTTTGAGAATGTACAGATTATAGCGAACAGCGTAATGCCCTCGAAGAAGCTCTTGTCAGGGAGCGAGGATTCCTCCCTCATCCCGTCGAATACCTCATGGCGACTCTCGAGGAAGATATTATATATCCACTCGATTCATTTATATGCTCTATTAATAAGTTTATTTAAGTCGTATACATTTATGTGGCAATATACAACAATTAGTGCAAAGCGTAAAAGCGTTTAAGTTTAAGTTTATTATTATTGTTGCTTTGTTGTTTGCGATCTTGCTTTTGCAGCGGCTATTGTTACTTTATGCGGATAGACATAGTCTCATTGTATTTAAATTCTTTGTTTTGTTTTTTACTGTAATCTATGTCACTTTTTGTTTTCGTATTTGGCGGGGCTCGCGTGGCGGCCGTTTGGAGGCTACTCGGGGTCCGCGTCTATGCCGGATGCGGCTGGGCGCGGCCCCTGACTGGTTCCCGCCGTTTCGCGCCCGTCTCTTCCACTCGGATTCCGATTTATTTTTTTGTTCAGTATATACGCAAAGCGCACACACCGTTAGTGCGGTAAGATTTATGTATTGCTACCACCGTATTGTATCGAACGACTGTGTAAATCTGTGATTACGAGGAGAGTCCTCTACAACCTCCTTTATTGCGAACTAGCCTTAAGGTCTTATGTAACACACAAAGCTGTGATGTGCGGCTATACCAGTCTAATAGGCTAGCACCTAACGACTGTATCTTCTATATTTTCTCAATAAAAAAAAAAAAAAATATTTTGCGCTTTTACTGTCATACAATATAATTTATTTCAGTACTTTAGTTTTATGCTTTAAAATAACTTTTATTCAAGGGGAAAAGCAAAGAAGCCCTTATCTATATCGATATCCAACTTTATAATAAAACAAATATCTTAATTTTCACGATCATTATATTCGCGATCGTAAGACAACTCTAATATTTTATTCTTAGATCGGAAGAGC